CATTGTGGATCAAGTAGTACTCCATATGGTAGCCCTTTAGGATCGACGCGTAACCCCACAGGATAGCTCTTGTGGGCCTATGAGCACCCCCATATAACAGCCCTTGAGGACCCATAGGTCCTCCCATAGGATAGCCCTTGAGGACCTATGAGCACTTCCATATAACAGCTCTTGAGGGCCTATGGGTACCTTCATATAATAGTTCCTGGGGACCTATGGATACTTCCATATAATAGTCCTTGAGGCTCTACCGGTACCCTCATATAATAGCTCTTGAGGACCTATTGGCACCCCCATATACCAGCCCTTGAGGACCTATTGGTACCCTCATATATAATAGCCCTGAGAGCCTTCCCCTTATCGCCATATCTGATCTTTAACGTTTGACCCGGCACAGACACACACATACACACAAACCGAACATTATATATAGATGACCAAACCGATGAACTAGTTGATATATATTCCGAACCCGAACCCGAACTCACCGAATCCGAACGTTCGGGTTCGGTGCATGCCTAGTATTGTGAAAGTTTAAAATTGATCCTTCTGTATTGGTACATGAAAGAATCTATATAAATGATAGAGTTAACTATCAATTAAATCAGTAATTAGCAGAAAAGAAAAACTTATAATTATAAAGTGTCTTTGGATATTAAACATAGCTACTGCTTTCCTTCAAACAAATTCTTACCAGCGGACAAATGCCCATCCCCCTCCCTCAGTAGATCTCGGCTTTCATACATGTAGGAGAACTGGATATTTGTAAATAAATGACTAATTTTTGATGAATTATGTACATACAAATTTTGATACTTCTAATATCTATAGTAGCTGAGATATATCAGGCGAGAAACTTTTGTTCACTACTGTAGTTTCTCTATGAAACTTTCTTAAATTGTTGGTAGTTTGTTCGATCTTTGTTCTCATTGGTAAACAATATTAAAATTATTGCTTTTTATTTCGTTGGAATATTTATCAAATAAGATGAAATTAATTTTGAAATATTTGATTTGAACTTACATTTTTTTGATTTAAACGTATTGATTCAAGATCAAATTTAAGCATTTCTTTTTCAACATTAAGTTTTTCAATTTCTTTAGTCATAGCTATAATTTGTTCTTCTAATTGTTTTCCTAATGTATAATATTTTGTTTCAAGTTCACGTAATTCTAAACGATGTTTTTGACATTCTTTAACTTTTGTTTCAATAATATCTTCTTTTTCAATAATTTTCATTGATAATTCATTAACACGTGTTTGTTTTTGATCAAGTTTTTTTTCAAATGTTAATATTGATTGACGTAATTGTTCCAGATGTTTTAAATCTTGTAATTGTTTAGCATTTAATGTTGATAAACGAGTATTTTCTTGTTGTAATTCATTATTAATTAAATTTTGTTGTTCATATGTTTTTTCGAATGTTTGATTTTTATTTATTTGTATTTGAAGTTGTTCTTCTAATTTTTTTGATGAATTTTGAAGATTATCAAATGATTTTTGTAATTGATTAAAATTTTGTTGTTTTTCGTCGAAACTTGTTTTTATTTTATCAAATTCTTCTAATAAACTACTTGTATCATTTGTTTCATATGTTAAATTTATTAAACGATAACGAATTTTTTCAAGTATATCTTCTTTATTTTGTACGAGAGTAAAAAGTTCATTCGCTTGTTGAATTATTTCAGATGTTTGTTCCATTGTTTTATTAACAGTTGATTGAGTTTGAATTTGTTCTTCCTAAATAAAATATAATAGACGAGTATATTAGAGGTTCATTGATGTTTAAAAAAATTATATCAAATTTTTCCCGTAAGATTTTTATGCAAACATACTGTTCTGCATCATCTCATATGGGTTAAGGCCACTTGCCCGCAAGACATTTACTCGTGCAATACGTGCCCGCAATGGACAATCGTGAGGGTGTGGGTGATGACAAGCGTCATAGGGGCAAGTGTCTTGCGGGCAACTGTCTCGCGAGCAAGTGTCCTAGATTAATCTCCTATGACTTTACCGATTTTTTAAGGCCCCCCTCCCCCACTCAAAAATCGATCTCAGCCCAGGTACGTTCAAATGGGCTGAAATTTGGAGCATATGTTGGGGCTGATTTGGGGAGGCTCTGGTAAAATTTTCAGCTCGATACCACAACGTTTGACTGAGATATTCACCAAACAAGGGTCAAAAATAGGTCATTGTGGTACAAGAATTTCTCAGTCCGGATCCGTCCAACATATTTAAATTCTTTTTTGTTGGAAAGAGTATGTCAGGATACAGAGCACTACGGAGTCCTTTTTTTAAATTCTTACTTTTTTAGCGGAGAAAGGAGATCACAAGTCCAATGGCTCAAAAAACACGCCAAAAATGGGTGTCCAGCCCCATAAGTGTCTGTATATATAATAAAAAACAAAGCTTAATTAAAAAAAGGACTCCGTAGTGACCTGCATCTCGACGCGCTCTTTCAAACAAACAAAAATTTAAATATGTTGGACGGATCCGGACTGAGAAATCCTTGTACCAAAATCAAAAAATCATAAATCGAGAAAAAACGAAAAACATTTGTTGATTTTTCAAAAAACAGCTGGTTTTTCCAATAGGGGGTGACGAAAATCTTCGAAAATTTTGGACAAAAAGGAGGTATTGAGGAAAAATTTTTATCAGTTATGAAAGAGCAGATCACGGGCTATCTTCCCATGCTGTTATCTCAATTTCGAAATTTTTGACGAAAATTGACTTTTTTTGAGTGGGGGGGGGCCTCAACATAATAGTTTAAAATCCATCCTTGAAAGATTTTATTGTCTATCTGTTTAACGTAGATGATTAAGAATGCTTATTAGTGTCTTACAACCAGGTTGGGTATTTGGACCTGAGTTTACAGATAATGACATCTTGACATTTTGAAACTTTTTTCCAATTGTTAATTTATATAAAAGCATAGGATTGAAAACCTAAGCACTTTATTGTGCTTGAGAACATGTTTTTTTTATTGTTGTTTATGTAAGAAACTAAATAGTATATTTATATAAAATAAAAGTTTGAAACCAACTGTGACAGTATCGGTCGGATGTCAATTAGTACTGATCTGAATCTAGTTATGAAAAGTCGTAACCGTGTAGGAGACTAGTGATTATTGTAGTCTATGATAAATATATCAAAATCGTTAAAATGTTTGAATTATTTTTGCAACCATTGTAATTATTCGATCCAACACTTATCTCGAGCAGTTTTTACTTTTCTGTTGATTACTCCTATATTTGTATTGTTTGTCTAAAAGACTATGAATAGAAAATATTATTTAATGGGTTTTTTTTTTCGGTAATGATAATAACATACAAAAATACATTAGAACATACTAATGAATTACATGAATAGCACAAGGACTCTCATATAACGATCGAAAGAATTGGTTGATAACTGCTTTTTTTTTTCTGAGTCAAGTTACAACTCTATTTACGTATCTTTTGGAAGTAAATTAACATAGTAACAGTTTCAAATTATGCAAATTATATTAAGTAATTTGTATATTTAGCATATTAAACATTTCGTAAAATACAAGAAAATTTGAACTCATTTTAGAGAAAACGATAGATCTAAATGGATAAGAATATATATAAACATTGATGTGCAATTTATTATTATGTTTCTTCTAAGCAATATTTCTTATATAATTTATGAAGAAAAAATATTCTAAAATAGAAAACTGAATTTCTAATATAGAATATATATTATCAATGTCAACCTTCATTAGTATGAAAACATCTGAGAAAAATTTATGAATGCAATTCTTAATAAACTAAAATATAGAACTTATATATCCATTTCAGGTACATTATACTGATCTAAACTGGGTACAATCAAGAATTTCTAATAGATAATAACAATTCCCCAAAGATAGACAACTATCAACAAAAGATACTATCTTATTTATTTTTGTATTTAACATAGAAGTTTCTTTTTTGTTTTTGTTACTGACGTTTGATATTATATTTATTTTGTTTCGATTAACTTGCTAATTATGTTCTCTCTTTCTTTATTTGATATCTTTTAATTTTGTAATATCTTTATTATCTTTTACCATTGATTCAACTGTCAGCTTCACTTTCTATATATACAATCATTTAATAAATCCGTAATAGATCTCAATGTCCAATCGTATATTTAGATAAATATAGAAATTCTTATATTTATTATTGTCAAAAGTTAGAACTGCTTTTTGTCATAGTTTTTATGCCGATCGTATACTGATTGTATCAATCAACTCAACACATCCCTAACCATCATCATTCGCAACTACTATATAAACGTTTATCTATGTCAAAGGTCCAAAAAGTATCATGACTATATAAACTAGAAGAGAACCGTTGGAATGTTCTAAAAGACTCTAAATATAATTTTTACTGTCATTCAATGGCTTTTACAGTTGCTAAGAAACTCTAATAAGTAGTTTTATGCCTGTTGTATATTTGCTATGGAAACGTACCCAATGACCAAATTGTAAAAGAAAGAGGGAGAGTTAGAAAACCTTGGTTTAAAACTTACACTCGTTGTTATCTTTGTAAATATATATAGGAGTTCGACACAATAATATTACTTGTGATAATCAAAGTGTACTTCATATCTTATATCAAGAGAAGGTTTAATATATCCTCTTTTATGACAGACACCTCTGTCTGTTTTTTTTTGTGATTTGAGATGATGTAAGGGTTCTAACGTCTATCATTCATCTTCGACAACATATTACATCTAAAATATTCTTCTCATTAAGGAATATCCATTAGCAGATAAGTGAAGAATATGTTCGTAGAACATTTTCATTTCCTATAAAGGTCATTTTATAGATTTATTTTCCTCTTAAGATAATACTGACAGCTGTTATTATATATTACGACATGATATTGAACGAGAGTTCATTCTATTTGGATATTGATTAGATCAATCAATATATTATCAATCGATGATATCTAAGTAGTTTGCCGATGTTTTATAGACTTTTTCTCTCTTTTTCTTTATTGTGACAATTTGCATGATTGAGTATGCGATGATCTTTTTGGTTTTGTTTATGTAATAATATATATATAGAAAAAAATATTCGAAAGAATAAATAATATTTATTGGTAAGAATTATTGCAATTGTTAAATAATTAACGAAAAATATAGAATCATCTTATTGATAATGATAGTTATAAATAGACACTATTAATACTATTTCTAAGAATACTTTTTTTTTTCTATAACTTTATTAATGATTATAAAAATATTGTATAAATTTATTTAACATACTGTTAATTGTTTATTCCATCGAGATGAACGTAATATTTGTTGTAAATCATTGACAATTTTTTCATTGATTTTATTTTCTTTAATAAATGTTGTTAAAGTTTCTATTCAAAAAACAGAATATGAAATATTCATAAGTTAAAAAAAGAAAAAAAATGAAATTTTTTACCAATTTTATTGATAAATATTTGAAGATTTTTATTAATTGTATCATCAACTCCTTGTTTAGATTGTTCATCAATTTTAGCTAATAAACTTTCTTTTTCTAATGTAGCATTATTTAATTCATCTTCCGATCTTAATAATTTATTTTTTAATAAACGTATTTCATCCATTGATGCATCAAGTTGTTCACGTAAATTTTCTCCACCATCAACACTAACACCACGTTTTGATCGATTATTATTATTTTCATCATCTGATAAATTTGAATTTCTATCAGCACTTCTACTACGTTGTTTTAATATTTTATATTGTACACGTAATTGTGATAATTCTTTATCACGATTATTTATATCTTGTTTAAGATTTGATATTTCATTATTAAGAAGAGAAATTTTTTGTTGATATGTATGCATTAAATCTGTTAAATCATTTCCATTATTATTATTATTATTATTATTATCATTTGAATTAGAAGAATTTTTTGAATTAAAATTCTTCGCATTTAACCATGATAATTCTTCCATAAGAATATATTCACGAAATAATGATTCATATAAATAAATAGATAATTGCCATAAAGGATAATCATCATTAGTATCCTAAATATAAGAATAATATAATTATATTATTATAATTAAAATTTATTTACTTTAATTAATTGTTGATCAAGAGATTCTTTAAGTGTATCTAAATTTTGTTTAAGTGCCAAATTAAGTTTTTCAGTTATTAATCTTGATTCTTCACTTTTTTCAAGTTCACTATGTAATCGAACACTGACTTCTTTAGCAATAAGTAATTCTTCATCGAAATCACGAGCTCGATTATTATCACGAATAATTTGTTGAATTTTTTCTAAGAAGATAAAAAATTTTCTGTTTTTTTTTTTTTTTTTTTTACAAATTCAATTTCATTTAAACAAATTCTAATATTGAAATTATATTGTAAGTTACTGTTCTAATTAGAAATATCTATTTGATCTTCAAGGATCACATCTAAATAACCGTGTAAACTCGATTATAGTGTTTCTATCCTATTATATGAGTAATCATATTCAGTAGAGGTCGACTTTGTTGATTGTTAGTCGTTCTAAGTCAACAATCAGTAATGAACAAGGTTAAAAAGTACAATCGATTCGTATTGATTACTAATACAATAGACTAAAATACTAGAGTGTTTTTTAAATCTAAATAGAACAAATGAATACTTTAAATTACAAATCGATATTTTTTACAACATTAATTACATAAACGAAGTTTTTTTTTTCTTATCACGAAATTCCTGTTTTGTTTTCCTCATAAAATCGTTCAATCTAACATTAATAATTATTCTATTTAAATCTAATTTATATTCTAGATCTAATTTATAAAAGCTTCATATTAAAACATCTTCTCCTATTGATTTCAAGTAATCGTTAGAATAGTTTTCACAAATACAAATACTGTCAAGAGAAAAATCAATAATAAATATAAGTTTCATATTACAAGAAAAATAATTATTTAGAATTTACACCGATATATTAAGAAGTCTCACCTTCTAACAAAGCCTTTTCAGCTTCTATGGTTTCGTTTCGTTTTTCTGATTTACGTAATTTAAATTGAAGAATTCGACAATTTTTAGCTAAAGATAAACAAAAAAAAAAATATTTCTAATCAAGAATCAGTAAATAAATTAATCTAACCAGCCACTTCAAGTTCTGCTTGTAATTGTTTAAATTCTTCCGCATCTTCTGTACGAAATTGATCTGTAATCTCGTCCATTTCCTATACAAAAAAAAAAAATTAAAACAAAAAATACATCATTTCCTTTTTCTTTAAAATTCATTTCAACAGCATCATCATTAATTTAGAATAAGTTTTTTTCTCTTGGCTCAAGGGCAGAAGAGTAGAAATCATCTATGTCATCAGCATATCTATTTCAAGTATACGTATCTTTTATACATCTAATATTCTTATCAGACACACCATGGATACGGTGTTGAGTGAAACGGCCATGGAAATCAAATATAAACTGCTAATGTCATCATATAATTATCCTATCAAAAACGATTAAACATAATCAGTTAGGTTACAATGTCATCTTATCAATCATTTGAACAAAGATATAGAAATAGGGAAAAAAAAAAACTATACATACTTGTCGTATATCATGAAGTTCCTGTCGAAGTGCATTATTTTGTTGACGAAGTGCTTCGCATGCAATAATTGGATCAGAATTTGTAGTGATGATGTCTTCTAAATAGACATTCCAAAAGAGACAATGTAGATTTAAACAGCAATAACTCGACAATAACTTATTTAGACGTAATTATAGATGCAAAAGAAAAGTATAATCCATGCATAATGCTGACGTATATTATTCTCTTATTTGAAAAGTAGAAGTGTTGATGATCTGTTAGGTAATTCGATCGTTATTGTACGATGATGATAGGTGAACTTGTTGATGAACAATAATGAAATAAATACTTGTCAACACTAAATCTATTCTTTTGATATTTATTGAAGGTTATTTTGTTTTATTGAAAGATACTTTGTCTTTTCATTATTCTCATCAATAGTCTCTATTTAAACAAAAAGGATGACGGTTATTTTCTATGTAGAATTCGTACAATAACGAGAAAACCATATTTATACGAGAAGATAATAAACAATCCACATTGTGTCATTATTCTTTGTTACATATTAGCATGGAAATATCTCTTTTCTTTCTTATATATATATAGATCGAAGAATAAATCGTCAAATTAATGATGAACAATGAACAGATGTGTATAATGCTAGATGGAAGAGTCTCTGGTCAATAGAACAAGAAAAGGTCAAAATCTGTTCAAGTTACGTGATCAATAAAAAACAAAACTAAGCAAGTCTATCAAAGAATATCATCAATTAGCATATAAAGAAACAAAAAAAAAAAGAAAAAAGGACTAAAATTATGCATAAGATTTAAGAAGAGAATCAAACAAAAAAATTAATATAAAACTATTCATAAATCTTCCTTTTCTTTTTTTTTTATATAGTGTTATTCATGATGTCTCTAATCTAAGAATAATGACATGATTTTTTCTTTTTTAATTTAATGCTATTTGTTCTATTAAATGAAAAAATTATCTTTACTTCCGTTATTTATAATAAACATTCGATTAAGTTTTATTAAAACATAGTTAACTTCGATTAATTCTCATATAATTGTCAATTATAATAAATAATATCTCAATCTATTTTTTATTCATACATACCTTTATCATGATGTTTTTCTTCAATTGTTATATTATTTTCATCATTTGTAATATTAATCTCTTGATTTTTATTAATATCAGTAGAAACAATAATAGTTGGTTTTTGTATAACTGTAGCCATTAATAGAAGTTGTAATATACGACTGAACACGTTCAAACAGATTACGCGGATATTAAAATAGATCACGCACAATTGCGTGATAATAATAATAATAATACCGAAAAACTAACTAACATTATTATCGAAGAAGGTAAAATTGTTCAATTCACTGTTCGCCTTTCTTTTTTCTCCCAGTTTCTATTGATTATTATTCTTCTTCTTTTTTTTTTCTTTTCTTTCTCTCTGTCTCTTGTTCTTTCTTTTCCTCTGTCGAGTAAATTGTGTATTACAATAATAATAAAAAAAAAAAAAAAAAAAAAAACCAACAATACACAACTATTATGAGAAAGAAGAATACGAAGAAGAAGAGGAATAATTGTACAATACGCACACACGTATACACATCAAATGAATAAAGCAAAAAAAAAAGAAAGCGAAGAGTTCTTTTCTTTTCTTACTCTCCTTTTTCGACTCTCTTATTCTGCTAACAGTGCATCTCAAAAGAAAAGAAAAAGCATATATACTCGTGTTACACTATCGTGTATAAAAGAGATAATCAAGTAATAAAGGAAACGAAGAAATATATTTTCCATATACAAAAGGCATACAGATGATGGAATCTATCAGGCGTTTTTTTTTTGTGTTCTGTCATATACTTTTGCTAATACTATTGACTAAAGGATATCAGCGATAGATTCAATATGATGAGACATATATATCATCCCTCCCATCGTACATCAAAATTGCTCTACTAACGATGATAATATCGTTCAGAGAAGAAATGATGCGGTCAAGAAATGTTTCTATTTTATCATATGTTATCAATAGTGAATTGATTAGTTGTCAGGCATGGATACACACATTAACAATCTATGCATTCTTTTTGTTTAACGGTCAATAGTGTAAAAGATGTTCTGTTGATAAGACATACATTCTTTTAATTCTTAAGTCAAATTAAGTGTAGAGAACAAAACAAAAAAAAAGTTCACACAGACACATATATATATATATATATATATATATTCATGCTTGATTATTTTAATTGATAGTTTTCATTAAATTTAACTTTAAATGGTAATTGTGATTTAAATGATTGATATTTGTCTTTGGTTAAATTATCATATTCACTTGAATTTGTAATACTATTTTTATTATTAAGAGATGTTAATGTTGATGAAGAAGATGATTCAATTAATGATAAAATTTTCAATTCATATTCTTGTTTACTTTGATTATCATAAATTGATTGAGTATTTAATTCAATATTTTTTATATTATTTATTGTTGAATATTTTTCTTGTTGAATTTTATTTATTGAAGAATATTTTATAGATGAACAGATAAAAGCAAGTAAACTAACAAATATTATTATACATATAAATATAATAATTGTATTTTTTCTATAAATTAAAAATGAATAAGTTTTATTTGATTTAACTAACATATTAACTAATAAAAATTTATCATTAACACATGAATAATTTAATTGAATATATTTTATTTTAATTAAACGACATTTTTTAATATAATATTGATTATGAATAAATGAAAAAGATTTTAAATTAAAAATACATAAAGATTGATTTGAACATATATTCATTTTATTATTAAGAATAAATGTACAATTGTATTTATTATATAAATATTTAATAGAATTTATTTTAATATGAAGATTATTATTACAATATATATGATAAAAGTTATTTGCACTTGTCAATAATAATTCTTTATTCATAATACAAATTGTATAAGGAAAAAAGAAAAGAAATAAAACAGAAAAATAATTGTATAAAGACATGCTTAAATATGAACAACTTTATTAAATGAGAACCAAAAAAGAAAATGAGTCAATGACGGAAAAGAAAAAAAAATTATGAAATATAAAACAATGATTATATGAATAGATGAATGTAATTTGAGTAAGACATCTAACTGTATCAAAAAAAAGACATATATCTTTTGTTTTATTCTCTACGACATTTTGTTATATGAGAAGCACAAGTTTTTATTGCTTGCTCTATGTTCATTAAATTGTTACAATACAGGTACTAATAAAAAGTGAATGAAATAGAATAGTCAGATAATTATCCAGAAAATAAATCTGCCAAAGATTATGCTCTTAAAAGTTTCTTGATGATTTTCTAACTCCATAACAGTTATAGATCGATTTTTCTTTTTACCATTCGGAATTTAAGAGTTTATTAAGACTCGTTAGCTCTTTTCATAACAACTAATTTATTTTTTCGTTAGAGATGAATAAGATTAAAACGGATATTTCTTGTATAGAGAATAATAAACAATTGAATACAGTTTCAAATGTAAAACCTCTGGATTGAGTATATAAAATGCAATCATTTACGAGATTTTCTTAACTCTAAAATAATGTTTTTTTTTCAATGACAACTTTTAATGACATAGAACAGAACAAATAGTTCAGTGACTTGTCGTGTAGAAATTATGATGAAAATTATCAATGTTCATTCGAAATAGCATACGTGAAAGTTGTTAGTATTGATTATTCTTTATAGAAAAGAAATTCTAATATAAAACTTTGATTGATTTTGTCATCCGAATTTTGCCGAAAATTGTTCCACATTTAAATGAGAATACTCCTGTTCGTACATCATTATTCATAACTTTAGCCTATTCCTTCGAGCAAATCATATATTTATTAAAATCGTAAATGAAAACAAATTCAAGATTGTGTGAGTTGTCATAACTAACAAAAAATATTTATTTATAGTTTTTCAAGTTGTATGAATCATTTGAATGAGCATAAGTGCGTATAACAACATTAACAACTATAATCTGAATCATTGTTTTCATTTCAACTAAAATTTGCAAGATTAAATGAAAGTGAAAAGAAAAAAATAATAAAACAGTTTATTGTACAATGTTTATTTAATGATAATATGTAATCATNCACAAACACAGATCTGCATAGATGTGTACGATTCGAATGGCAGTCTTACGTCACATGACCATACACCGGTACCTCCATCTGATATAGTTTCAATTTCGCCGCCACAGTATTTTTGAATGTATCGACGAAATGTATTCATATATCGAAGACCATTGTATAGAGTGAACGATATTTCTTGCGATCCATTCAAACCACTATAAAAACGAATAGCACATAATTGAAAATCACTTGGTGATGTCTCATTATTATTTAATTGACACGTGAGATTGCGTGTAACAGCGATATTAGTCATATTTTGAAGAAAAAAAGTATTAACTGTATGTGGAATGATAATTAATATATAAATAATACCAATGAAATAAAGTCGAATCATGTTGATGCCAACGAAACTGATCTTGTTTGCTTATCGTACTAATTGTTTTATTTTCTTTTATTTAAATATTTCAGTTTTTAGAAATATCTTGCTTTCTCGAGTTATTCACAGAAAAATGAGTAAAGAAGAATTCGTATTCACGTTTATTTTGTATGAAATACACATTTTGAAAACGAACAAAAAAAAAACATATTTGATCCCTTTTTTCCTTTTCTTACAATTGAAAGACTTGCAAAGAAAAACAAACAAAAGAATATGACATTTATGAATTTACGACAGAAAAACTCGAAGTGCTGTTTTTTTTGTCTTATGCAAAAAGAAAATTACAAAACAAAACTCTTCTTGAAAAGGAAAAAAAAAGTTCAACAAAAATGTCTTTTATTGTGTACATGATTTTTTTCTAGTCCTGCTAGAATATCACAAGTTGATATATGACTATATTCCAGGTAACATTGGAAGTTATATAAATTAATCATCTTAAATATAATAAGTAAGTGTATGAAAGAAGAACATATAAAATATAATCCATAGTTTTTGTCGAATAATCACTATGAACATTCAAACAATGGAATCATATTATTACTCAATGATGAAATGAATATTATTTTCATGATTAATAATCATTTTTGTCTCTAAATGTTTATTTAAGTAATGGAAACGATAGAGCACTAGTAAATGGTGTCAAACAGACAGTTCAAGTATATATTTATTGACATTACTCTTAAAAACCGTAGGTGTAACAGCATATTTTTCAAAAGTGTTGATGCTGAATAAATATGTTTTGTTTTTGGTATATCAATCAATTAGATCAAAATATTTTTGTTTTGTTCATACATTCGATAACGTACCATTAAAAAAGAAATTTCAATGAACTTATATTAAATTCTTATTCAAACAAAAACCAAAAAATATAAAATTGAAAATAAATCAAACTACTACATTCTATATCTGTCAAACAGAAATAGACAAAACAATTTCTGAGAGAAAGAGAAAAGAATGATTAACAAATTATTCTTTTTTTTTTTTGTTTTTGCACAATATTAATTAATACAATCATTTCCTAAAATTCCTTCTTCATCAATAACATCAAAATAGACTCGAGGAAGTGCACAACCAACTGCTGATATAAGTGATTCTTGTTTTAATTGACATATTCTTGGTGTATTTTGTCTAATAATTGATTGTAGAAATACAGTTAAATCTTGTGTTGATTGTTTTTCTAATTGAAAAAATTCTCCAGTTAATATACAATGATTAACTGATGGATAAAGTTTAAGTAATAATTTTATTGTTAAAGCCATATTCATTGTAAACATTGATAANAAATAATTAAACAATTTTTATCTTATAAAATGTTCCTTGAATATTTTAATGATAAAAAGAAAACAAACGAAGTTTTTTCATGATTAATAAATATTTATTGTTCAGATCGAATGTTTATGAGTTTTCACGCTCGATAAGCAACTGATCGATCGAAACCACCACTAGCGGCACCTCCGGAATAGAAAAATTTAAAGAAGATAATTTCACCAATGAATATGACAGCAGAAAAAATAATTCCACAAGCAAGACCAGCACTTGCTGCTTTACCAAAACCTGGTTCACCCTGTACTGAATCTATAATAAACAAGAAAAGGACAATACTAATGAGAAAATGCTTCTAAGTGTCAAATTACTTTTGAATCGGAACTATGTCCATCTTGTAGGTTCTAACGAGTTATAAATACTTTGAAAAGAGTTTGACCTAATAGTTTTTTACTATCGAGATACTGCATTTTTTACTGAAATATCGTGGTCCTTCTCAGGAACAGCAGGAAAACAAAGTTTTAAGTTTCGACTTGAAATATTACATAGAGATAGGCCTTTATGAGAATAGGTTACTGTGAAAAAGTTTTAGATCTTTTGAGTGCTTCTATCCTAAGACACAGCTATAATAAAAGTGCATATTTCGATATTCATATTTCAAAATATGAACAATCGAAAAATCTGAAATTTTCACAATAAGATTTTTTTTTTGTTTACGTTTATCTATATGCAAAATTTCAAGTACAAATTCGAAACTTTGTTTTTCTGATGTTCCTTAGAAAAGCCATGGCATTCTACTAGAAACTACTGTATCTTGGCAGTAATAACCTATGGACCTGAATTTTTTTTCCGAGTATATATAGCTGATTAGAACCTACATGATGTACATAGTCTCGACTGAAGAGTAATTTGACACTTAGAAGCATTTTCTCGTCAGCTATTTTTAGAAATCAACACACAAGAATATTCACTTTGTTGATTTGAACTGGATGTCGTTTTTGATTCTTGTGTTGTTGTAGATGATGTAGGAATTATTATCGTTTGTGGTGCACATATAGTAATATTTTGATTACAAAAAGAATTTGTACAAACACATTCTTCAATAGGTAGTGCAGTAGAATCAGTATACTTATAATAGACATTGGTTGCTGTTTCATTAAATGTATTATTCGAAGCATTAGAAGGTATTGATCTTGCTTGATAAACTTTTTCAGAAAGATAAATTTCGTAATTTTCATAAATGAGCGATTGTTGTGTTGTCGTTGAATTATTTATTGTAATAGCACACAATACACTTGCATTTCTGACGTAGTCTTGACAAAGTGAAACATTTATAAATGGATGTTCTGTACATATATTAGATGCATTCAATGTATCATCACATTGAATAATGGAAGTTAGATTAGGCATAAAATTCATCAATGATGACATATTCGTAGTATTCATAGTTGAATTTCGACAAGTATCGAAGTTTGTATTACAGTCCTCACTTGCACAAACACAGATTTGCATAACTGTGTATGATTCGAATGGTAGTCGTACGCCACATGACCATGCACCGGTACCAGCTTGTGATATATTTACAGTATTGTTGCAGTTCTTTTCAATAATTCGACGAAATGTATTCATATATCGAAGACCATCATATAGAGTGAACGATATTTCTTGTGATCCATTCAAACCACTATAAACACGAATAGCACATAATTCTAAACCTCTTGGTGGCAGCTGATTATTATTTAATTGACATCCAAGACTGTGTGGAGCATTGATATTAGTCACATTTTGAAGAAAAAAAGTATTAACTGTATGTGGAATGAAAATTAACACATAAATAATACCAACGAAATAAAGCTGAAGCATGTTGATGCAAACGAAACTGATTCTGCTTGCTGATTGTATAATCATCTTATTTTTTTGTTGTTATTTCAATACTACAGTTTTAAAAATAGTCTGTCTACTAGCAATATTCGTCGACAAACGGACCAAAAATAATTCGTATTTACATTTATTTTTCAACAAAATTTTCGTTTTGAAAACAAACAAAAACAAAATATTCACCTAGTTTTTACTTTTATTGCTAGTTAAATGACGTGCAACGAAAAAAAGAGAAGTATGATATTTATGAATTTACGAAAAAAAACTGGAAGTGTTATTTTTTTTTTTGCCTCATACAAAAAACAAATACAAAACTACCTACTACTTGAGAAGAAAAAAGTCAAACAAAAATATCCTATATTGTGCATATCATTTTTTTCTAGTTCTGTTAAAATAACACAAGCTATGACAAATAACTAAATTCTCCCTGAGATCAAAGTCATATGGCTTGATCGTCTTAAATATTAAGAAGTAAATGTATGAAATAAGAACACACAAAACATAATTCACAGCTTCTGTCGATATATTAATATGAACATTCAATGATGAAATGAATATTATTTTCATGATTAATATCATTCATAGTCTTCTTTGTCCCTATATGTTTATTTAAGTAATAGAGACGATAGAGTACCACTAAATAATGTGAGACAGACAATTTTAAGTATGTACTTCTTGACATTATTCTTACATATTATAGCAGTAACAACATATTTTTCGAAAGTGTTGTTGCTGCATAAATATGTTTGTTTTTAGTATATCAATCGATTAGATCAAAGTGTTTTTGTTTTGTTCATACATTCGATAAAGTTTCATTAATAAAAAACCAAAAAATATAAAATTGAAAATAAATCAAACTACTACATTCTATATCTGTCAAATAGAAATAGACAAAACAATTTCTGAGAGAAAGAGAAAAGAATGATTAACAAATTATTCTTTTTTTTTTTGTTTTTGCACAATATTAACTAATACAATCATTTCCTAAAATTCCTTCTTCATCAATAACATCAAAATAGACTCGAGGAAGTGCACAACCAACTGCTGATATAAGTGATTCTTGTTTTAATTTACATATTCTTGGTGTATTTTGTCCAATAATTGATTGTAAAAATACAGTTAAATCTTGTGTTGATTGTTTTTCTAATTGAAAAAATTCTCCAGTTAATATACAATGATTAACTGATGGATAAAGTTTAAGTAATAATTTTATTGTTAATGCCATATTCATTGTAAACATTGATAATAATGAATGATTGATTGCTAGACGTGTTTGTAATGATGAAAATTCAAGAAAACTATCATCAGTTTGTGTATATACATCATATTTTGTTATATTTTTATCATAAGATGATGTTCGTCTATTAGACCAACCACGATAAATATAATGTGAAGTATTTGATTGACTATAATCAGAAGGAAAATATCGTTGTGGTATACGAGTAAAACTTGTTAAAGGTACATGACATGAAAAATTAATTGATGAACGATGACAATTTTTACATAAATTTAAACGTGTAAAATCAAATGAAACAGGTGATGGACGTCGAATTGTCAATGATGATGAGGATGATGAAGATGGTCTAGAAAAAGAAAATGAATAAATTTATTTGAATGAATATTAAACTATCAATCAAATGAAATAATATAATGATTTATAACAATATAGGAAAGCTCTTTTGTTTGTCTTTTAATCGAATTGAAATGAAGAGAAATGTAAATTTTTTTTTGTTGTAATGCTTTTATCTTTTTTAGATGGATAAAACTTTGAAGAGAGACTATCGGAATTTATTGTATCTATCTATTAAAAGCATATACTACTTTTATGAAACACGATCTATAATGACTTCGTGGCATATATCTTTAGCAAGGCTTCTCACTCTCTTCATTATAAAGTGTGACAGACGTTGTTTATATACGATCACATCTTGTATATCAATAACGTCTCGTTCTAATATATGAACTATTTCCTTCATACATTTCTGAAAATTTAAACAAAGGGATCGCGAAGAAACGGGTTTCAAAATAAGTGGAATAAAACAATCTCTATAATCATCACCACAGTATTTACCTCGTGTTTTTTCACATTTCAATGTGACAGGGATTGCACTACTTTAGGACACTTGTATTATGTTTATATGAGTGAAAGTTTACTGTTGGTAAATCATGATTAGAAATTTTCCATCGTGTATAATTGAATAACAGCTTAACAAAAAGTCAATGAAAATCATTGCTTGACAATTGATAGAATCTAGTTAGATTCAGTAACGGTCATAAATATTCCTGAAAACATGTCCTCGGATATTAATTCTCGAAAAATTGTTCTTCTATAGATGTCCTTGCAAAAAATGTCCCTAAATAGAACGTTCTAGAAGAAACATCCACACGTTAAATGTTCTTGGGAAAAAGTTCTTCTATTTAAAATTTAACTTGAACTAGAATAGATAGCAACAGATGGTGTGTAGTTATTTTACGTTCTCCGTTATTTTTGTAGAGTTCGTAATGATCCTATCAAAAGTTTAGAAAAATAAATTCCGATAAAAGAAAAAGAAGTTCATTAAATTAAAATGACAAGCCTTAAAAATCCTGAAAAATATAAATAAGATAAAGCATTCATGTCAAAGTCATGTAAACCTTTTACTTGAAAAAAACAACTTCAAATAAAGGAAGTTTTATATTAGTTATTGATGGTTACACTTTGCAATTAAAGTGTCATATGATCGCTTTACTAATATTTTAATTCCAGAGAAATATTTATTACTCAGATTTTCCTTTTGTTTGTTGCAAATGAAAAATAAGATCAAAAATATTTAGAATAAAAAGATCAAAGGGATAATTATCGAAGGACATTTTTTCAGGGACATCTATGACCTAATTCTTAGATTCAAATGAATTCGATACAAAAAAAAAAAACATTTGATGACGAGATATTTATTTGCTTCTTCTTTTAGATTTGTTATTATTCGATTTTTTTTTTGTGTTAGATCTCTTCTAAATAATTTCATTATAAATGCAAAAGAAAAGTATAATTCATGCATAATCCTGACGTATATTATTCTCTTTATTGAAAAGTAGAAGTGTTGATGATCTGTTAGATAATTTGATCGTTATTGTACATTGATGATAGGTGAACTTATGATGAATAATAATAAAATAAATGCTTGTCAACACTAAATATATTCTTTTGATATTTATTGAAGGTTATTTTGTTTTATTGAAAGACAAGAGATTATATATTTACTTTGTCCTTTCATTATTCTCATCAACGGTTATTTCGCATGTAGAATTCGTTCAATAACGAGAAAAATCATATTTATGCATTGAGATAAATAAGCAATCAACATTGTGTCAATATTCTTCTTTGTTACATATCAGTATGGAAATATCTCTCCTTCTTATGTGTATATAGATCGAAGAATGAATCATTACATTAATGATGAACAATGGACAGATGTGCAACGGATGGTCCAGATAAAATCTGACACTTTTGTTTTTTGTCTTTGAGACATTTTAAAGTAACGTTAAAATCTGCCTGTGAACTTATTTTATGTAGAATTTATTTCTCTACAAAACTGGTAACTTTGTTTTTTTCAAATGAAATTATCTTGTTCGTGGAAAATTTTAAAAATTAAGCCGTTCCTAAATCGTTCAATTGCAAAAGATAAAAACCAAAAACAAAAATTCATGTCAAATCTTGATAACAGTTCCACTGAAATTTTAACTATGCTATAATATTCTCCATAAAATTGTGATTTTTTTTTATATGCATTCCAATATGTTAAAAATAATGTTTGTGAGAAAAAGTTTTCAAGTCAGAAAATTGAAAACACGAAGAAGTTTGTTGTTTGCCCAAGTGTTGTTATTCTACTTTTTTTTTCCATACGAATCACATAATAGTTTTCACTGTTCAAATTAAAAGTCATATCTGTTTTGTTCAGAATTAAATTGTACATTCGATGGAATGTAAACCAATGTCTCATCAACCAAATCTGCTTCGAAAAATATGATTTTCAATAATATATCCAAACAAATCGGCAGATGCTAATCTTCAACCTTTTTCTCATGAAATATAGTCGTAAGAACATTGAAACAGTTTTAAGAGCATGCAGAGAAAAGTTCACCATTGATTCAAGTAAACTATTTTACTTTTAGCATCAGATTTGTTTAGCATAGAATTACGCAAATCCATCCATGTCTACAAAAAAAACATGAGATCGCAGTTTGAACAAGTGAGTAGCGCTTAATTGTTTGAATTTTGCGCGAATAAATTAATGCTATTTGAAATACTAAATCTCCAGTTTTGTAAATAACGAAATTATACATCAAACAAACTTAAAGGAAGATTTTAATGTTACTTAAAAATACCTTAAAGACAGAAAACAAAAGTGATCCATTTTATCGAGACTACTCTTTTTAGTGCTAGATAGAAGACGAACTGGTTAATAGAATGAGAAAAGGTCAAAATGTGTTCAATTTATGTGATCAATAGAGACTGAAATTATGTGTAAGATTAAAGAAGAGAACAAAGGAAAAAAATTAATATAAAACAATTGATAGATATTTCTTTTGATATAGTGTTATTCATGATGTATCTGCTCTAAGACTAATAACAACATTTTTTTATTTAATGCTAATTGTTCTATTAAATAAAAAATTATATTTATTTTCGTAATTTATAATAGATATTCGATCTAGATTTATAAAAAAAAAAAAATAATTAACCTCGATTTATTCTCATATAATTATCAATCATAATCAATGACATGTTGATCTATTTTTTATTCACTCATACCTTTATCATGATGTGTTTCTTCAATTGTCATATTATTTTTATCATTTGTAATGTTCATCTCTTGATTTTTATTAATATCAGTAGAAAAAAAATAGTAGCTGATTTTTGAATAGGTACAAGTATTAATCGAAGTTGTAATATTCTATTCAATAAGATTAATCAAATATTAAAATAGATCACGCAAAGTTGCGTGATAATAATAATCATATCGAAAAGCTACTTAGTATTATTATTAAACAAGATGAAATTGTTCAATTCACTGCTCGTCTTTCTTCTTCTTCACTCGATTTCTATTGATTATTATTCTTCTTCTTATTTTTTTCGTTTTCTTTCTCTCTGTTCAGTAAATTGTGTACCATAATAAAAGGAGCTAACAACACACAACTATTATGTGATAGAAGAATACGAAAATGATGAGAAAGGTTTGTAAAATGCGCACACATGTATACAAATCGAACGAATAGAGCCAACAAAAACGAAAACGAACAGTTGTTTTCTTTTCTCAAGGATTCCAAAAGTTGCTCACGAGATAAAAATTCATATTTATATTACTGAATAATAACAAAAGCACAAAGATCTAGGAAATTTAAATAAAGTTGATTCAGGATAAATTCAATTGAAATACTGTTATGAAAACACAAGATAATATCAATAAGTTCAACAGTTAAAAGGCAAAACTCAATTATTGATCATTCTTCAAGTGACTCTATTGTATATATTAATCCTTTAAGACCGAATATATTTCTTCAACAGGACATTTTTTAATGATTAGATTAAAATCTTATTTAAAAAAATCCTGTATTAGAAAACCAATCGAATATTCTGGGCCAATTTTGTCTATCAGATTGCACTAATCTGGAGTACTATGTGATTTTGAATGTAAGATTTCATAATAATCTTTATATCAACTATTTTAATTTTTTCTGAAAAGAACAGCTGGTGGTAAAAGGTTCAGATACTAAGATATACACACATGACTGATTATATTATCCGCTAGATCATAAAGTATAATTATTAAACATAGTCTTTTTTTTTTTAATGCTTTACTCTCATTAAGAAGGTCGTTCTAAGAATAAAAAGTATCTCGTAAATAAAAAGAATGACTCTTCACAATAAAAAAAAAACAAGAGACAATTAAAATTTTTTTGTCACTTTCTTTATATGGCGAATTGTTATGTTTATGATTTCGACAATAAAATAAAAATTTTGGTCTTCCTGGTATTTCTTTATATCTTTTTTATGTTTTGAAGTATAAATATGATTTTTTTCTCTCGTACGCAGCTTTCGTCGCACGTTTCTTTCGTAAGCCCCTTGTCTTACTCTCATTTTTCGACCTTTTCATTATGCGCTGACAGTGCAGCTCTAAAGAAAAAGCATATATACTCGTGTTACACTATCGTGTATAAAAGAGATAATTAAGTAATAAAGGAAACGAAGAAATATATTTTCCATATACAAAAGGCATACAGATGATTGGAATCTATCAGGCGTTTTTTTTTTGTGTTCTGTCATATACTTTTGCTAATACTATTGACTAAAGGATATCAGCGATAGATTCAATATGATGAGACATATATATCATCCCTCCCATCGTACATCAAAATTGCTCTACTAACGATGATAATATCGTTCAGAGAAGAAATGATGCGGTCAAGAAATGTTTCTATTTTATCATATGTTATCAATAGTGAATTNAAATACAAAAACATTTTATTTGATTATCACATTGATATCATCCACTGCGAATTATCCGAGAATTTTTCTTTCAAGTTTTTTACATCAAATCAAAATTCTGACTACGTAATTTCCGAAAAGCCTCTAGATTTTCTTATCATGCATAAGAATTACAATGAGTAAGTGATCGAATATTAAATACATCAATGACAAAACAAACAGCTGTTTTCTTTTTTGTGTATTAATAGTCTTTTGAATAGAATATTGTAAAAGGAAGAGCACATCGTTTAAGTAGTATTCATAATATATATATAAAGACACAGCTGAAACAATAAACTATTTAATGTTCGTCTTTTTTTTTTTTCTACAATACACAGAAAGACACAAGGCATATAAAATGAGCCACTTTTTTAGGTTCTATTGTTCATGTTTGTACGTTTCTTTTTTTTGAAAATTTTTTTTTATTGTTATGTTAACCACATAACATTGATATTTGATTTCATTGATGTATAATATTCAAAAATTTTTACACATTCTTATAGAAATTATTCATAAAAATAAATAAATAGATCATATTCAATATTCAATATATATATATATGGCGACTACAAATGAAGATGAATATGTTGATAATGATCGTAGTCATTCAAGTTTTTCTTATCGTTCTTTATCACCACGTTCATTTGAACGATTACGTACTGAACATAGCGATTATTTTTATAAACCAAAACGTGGTCCATCAACAAGTAAATCAAATATAACTATAACACGACCAATAAAAACATTTGAAACTGTAACAAAACTTGTTGAACTTTTAACAAAACAAACTAATAATATAAAACGAGAACATGTTGAAAATATGGAATCAACAAAAACACTTAATGAACAAAAATCAATATCTATATGACAGTTTACTACACTTTTGTTGGCTGACAAAGACATGAAACAATTATTTGCTTGTCTTTTCTTAACTAAATATTCTATACATACCAGAAAAAAGATGCAAAGTAATAATAACAACCGCAGAGATAACCTTTGAGACGAGAAAAGCAAAAAAAAAATAATAACAATTTAGTTAATGGAAAATAATTATAAATATGATGATGTTGAGCGAAAATCTTATTCATTAAATAATAATTAATCATTATTATCATTCGTATTTAAATCCATGAGAAAAAATAAAATAAAATAAAATAGTTTCTGAAACATATAAAAATAAAAAAAATAACAAACGAAAAATTTTCTTTATCAAATAATAAATTTATTTTAAGTTAGATAGATCAAATGAATATATAAAAAGAAGATGATCATGAATTAGTTAACAATATAAATAATAGATAAGTAAAAAATATAGATTACTAATGATGTGTATTCATTTTCTATTAAAAATAAAAGATAAATGCATCTGTTATTTTATGTTAAAATTATCATATGCTCGTTTTTCATCTATTATCAGTATGTCAAATAGAAGTGTAAACATAGATAAATACTAAATCTTATAGTTATACTGTATATCTCATTAAATTATGCAAATCATCGAAGAATGAACAATAAATAGACAGACGATAAAATATTTTTTCTTACATATTGTATAAGAAATAATAATAAGAAGATAATTATATCAAAATGCATACGTGAGAAGACATTCTAGTGAATATTACATATACTTATTATATGTGAGAAAATAAGCGTAAATAATATAGACATTATTTGTGTCAAGTACATTTACTAGGGCACATCGTTTGTATATGAGGGTAATACTGATGTTGTTTTTTTCTACAATAACTCATAATTATACAAGCATAAACACTAACTGTCACTCAGAATGTTTTATGTTGAAATCTGAAATATGTGATTGAAGAGGTAAAAAGGCGAAGAATGTATAGACAAAAAAAAGAAAAAAAATAGCCTTGTGCAAGAGTCATGACCTTCAAACTCAGGTATATGCTTTTTCTTACAGCAATGATGCGTGTTCAACAAGCTTGTTCGTCATGTTACACACAGAGCATGCACAGTCGAAGTAAAATTAGCATAATACACTCAATACAACGAATGTAAGATGCGAATGAACGCATTAAGTGGGTCGTAGCAGAAGCACTACTGCTACAATCATTATTATATATCCAGAGTAGTAATAATAAAAATAGAACGAATAGAAATTCTTCTATTTTTATACATTAATTCAAGTATTTCAATCAACATTTGTATTGTATCATTGTAATTGATTGCGTCATCAAAAAGAAAATCTTTGTTGTATTGCATCCTACTTGAAATTTTAATTTTCTTAATCAATTTACTTGATCACTTTTTTTTTTAATTAGTATTTTACTTTTTTTCTTTTTCTATTCTTCTTAATCAATACAATTTTTCATCTTTGAAATAATTCTCATTAATCTTTATACTGTATACATTCCTTTTTTTTTTTTTTCTTTAACCGATTATCCAATATCATTTAAATCTTTGCTGTTCAAATTATTAAGCTTACATGTTCTAGTTATCAAATTTATTATATTGAAAGTACTCTTTTCTTTAAAGTTTTGTTCTATTTACTATTCACATCTTTATAGCTTACCCGTCAGGCATGTAACTATTCCAATGTTTAATCTTCTTTACATTTACATCGTTTATATGTTTTAATACTAGTAGAACATATAGTATTATGTGTATTGAGCTATTTAATTGTACATATAATCATTGAATAGAAAGTATTTTTTTAAATATTATAGTTACTATATGGAACTTGAAAAGCATCTTGAGAGCTAAAATTTTTCTAAGACATTACAATTTGATCAATCGATTTTTAATGATATTTTATTACAATTTTGATGAATTTAAAATAAAAAATTTATAGTATAGTTAATGATTTTGTATTTAGAAAATGATAGATTTGTCGAGTGATTGAATAATAAAAAGAAATCAACAATGAAACCCTATGAAAAGTGTTTGAATTTTTAAACAAATATTGATCAATATTTATTATTGATTAACATGACTTATTAATCAGTATAATCGATAGTTATTTATTAGAAGAAGAAATATGGAAAAACCTGAATATAAAAAATAAAGTTAACGTTATACTCCTATTATAATTAATAATATTATTATTAGGTGAATATTTGAAACGATTCAAAATGTTTATTAACCTTTTAATTCTAACAATTACATAGAAAAAGAAAAAAAACTACATTATTCATAGCATGAGTAAGTCATGTGTTTTCTTCTTTTTTTTTCTTTTTTTTTTTACCAAGTACGTGTGAAAACGTTGGTTGTTAGCGTTGCTCCATGTTACTAAGCATTTGTCCTTTTCTAAGAATCACAACGTTTGATATATGTAATTCATTGACTCAATAATCGTCCTATCCTTACAAGTTCTTCAAAATCTATAAAAGTGTTAAGAAAACATCATTTGCGGAAATAGAGGTATAACTATAGACAATCTAAATGCTATGGCGAAAAACGTTGATAGACGTGGCATAAAACATCTAATGACAGCAGCAAATGATTTATCTAATTTTGCAATGGCTACTACAACAGCTACGATCGTATCGAATTCAATTCTTAATCCATCAATTATTAGTTCAACTTCTTCAAAATGGCTAAATGATATTTCAGCAATGGATAAATATAATTGGTTATTACATATAATGTATGGTCGTGGTGAATATGATCGTATTCAACAATTTATACGTATTCAATCACATAAAAATGCTTATATGACATATATTCAAGCTCTTGTTTATCGACAAGAAGGACGTATTATTGAAGCACTTGAATATTTTCAAAAATGTGTTCTTGAAAATCCATCTTTAACGAATATAAAACAAGTAGCGAAATCATTGGCACTACTTGGACGTTATAGATTAGCAGTTGATGCTTATAAAGAAGCATTAACATATACAACAAATGATTGGGAAATATTTCATAATTTAGGTTTATGTTATATGCATTTAAATGAATTAAAACAAGCAAAACAATATTTTTTACAAGCATTACAAATTACAGAAATACAAGAAACATCATTTTTAGCACTTGGTAAAGTTTATATGTTAGAAGGTGAACGTGAAGAAGCTGAAGCTGCTTATGAACAAGGTTCAAGACGTAATCCAGAATCAGTTGAACTCTTTACTCAAATTGGTCTTTTGGCATTTGAAGTAAAATTTGAATATTTTTTTTGTTTTTTAATTATCGAATATTTCAATTATTATGTTTTCTTTTTTTAGAGAGCTAACTATACAAAAGCATTCGAATGTTTTGGTGTAGCATTAACATTTAGTCCAACTCATATACCTGCTATAATGGCTGCTTGTCAAGTTATACAAAAACATGGTGATGCTGATGTTGCATTATCAAAATATCGTATTATTTATGGACGTAAACCTGAATGTGCACAAGTATGGAATAATATTGGCATGTGTTTTTTTTCAAAAAAAAAACTTGTTGCTGCTGTTAGTTGTTTAAAACGTGCAAATTATTTAGCACCATTTGAATTATATATTTTATATAATTTGGGACTTGTACATTTATATTTACAACAAAATGCATCAGCTGCAATATTTCTTCAATCAGCTATTAGAATTAATAAAAAACATTCACTAAGTTATGCTTTACTAGGTAAATATATATTTCATAAATTAGATTATTCATCATAGATTATTTATATATTTTAGGTGTAGCTTTATCGAAATTGAATGATTTTGATAATGCTTTAAAAGCTTTTACATATTCTCTCAAACTTGATCCAACAGATCCAATGACTTTACTTAATTTAGCTATTCTTCAAATGAATACAAGTGTTTCACAATCGATTATTGATAAAACTCTTAAACAATTTCATCAATATTATTCTGAACGAGCTGCTTTAATTAGTCATCATGAACTTGATACATCTATGTTAGATTTTGCTGCAAAATTAAAAGTTTCACAATCAACAACTATTCAAAATAATGAAGAAGTTACTCCATTACCATCAAGAACAGCAATCTATTCACCTAGAGAACCACTTGATAAAGACTGAATGACTTCATTACGATAAACTTCTCAAAAATTATCTATTATTGATAAGCGATTTACAATGACGGATAACATAAATAAAACACCTATCATGGGCTTCATCAGATGTTAAACTTGTGCAAAATATGAACAGTCAGCAATCAGTTTTTAATTTAATCTATGTACTTTCTTCAAACTCTTTTCTTATAAAGCACAAATTATATTATAATTGAAATAGATATTCTTCGATCAAGGCCTCCAATCACTCTCTATAATCGATTTTCGATACAGTGCATGAATTATTGTTGAGGAGATTTTCAAAGTCCACAGTATCCAAGAGGCTTTTCACGCGTAGAAATATTTTTTTCAATACATTTCAAGTTACAACACTCGAGTTACTCTCGTTTGAAAGAAAACTCTTTGTAGTTTTGGATGAGCGAAAAAGGTTTTTCAATGTAATGTTCTCTAGAAAACTCATGATTATTTTAATATTGTAAACCGAATACAAAGTAATTTTCCTTCATTCGAAAGAGAATACATCTATCTATCCAATAAAAAAAATGCAATTGACTAGAACGAACACTGTTGAGAAAATTTCACCTAGAGTCTTATCAAATGAGCTACACGTTGGGCTATGACATGGAGCGACAAGTACCATTGCGATTTTAATTTATCGATGGTTTTAGGTATTACCTATGTCGAACATTTGTTCGCACAATTGGTGATAGCACTTACGACTTTAGGTTCCAGTTATAAAGGCTTGTAGAGGATGTTTTCTACGTAAATTCGAATTATTTATTATTTGCAGCGCCATCTGCAATGTAAATTTATGTCATATATGGGATTTATTTGGGTGCTGCGGCTAGTACAGACGACTCAGACGCATCAACACTATGTAAATGCATCAGAATCTATTCAATTCTGTCAGTTTTAACAGATTTCAAAAATATTCACGCGCTTTGATACAATACAACACTTTCAACATTTTTATCAATTTTCAAACAAGACAACTTAGGAATCATGTGGCTATATGTTTATCTCAACAAAGTGTCTATTTTTTAGAAAAATCGATTTTTTAAAAGAGAGATGAGGTCTTAACTAAATTCTCGTACACAAATAGCTTTTCTTTTAAGGATTGAATATTGTTGAAATATATTTTGAAGAGAATTATTATAAAACATTTGAGAGTATATTTCACTCTATGATTTGTTCAGCTATTAGTCAAACATAGAAAATCATTTATTATAACATCTAATCATTATTCAATATCGCTGTATTTTCATCGATAAATTCTTTGATTAAACCGATATTAGTTTGTAGCGATAGAATTAATGGAACAGAAAAAATTAATAATAATAAAAAAAATCTTTTCATTTCTTCCTCTGTTTCTTTTAACGCACATATTGTATATGATAGTAATTGCCTATGTTGAGTGCAAATATCACCATGAGAAATCTCCTTAGATCTTCATATACCTAGTAAAGAATGACTTTTCTATGTCGAATTGTGTTTCGGGGAGAGAAAACAGTCATTTGAATTCATACAAGTGATATACATAGAAACATTTTTATATTCAAATCCTCAAATTCATTTTTGAAAAAAAAAGAAACGGTTATTATCTTATAGACAACTCGATATATTCAATAATTCGAACAGATTCGAAACAATTTTGGTTAAAATTTTGTTAGTCTGGAAGATCAGTTTTCTAGAAAACCAGTATATGAAGATCTAAGGAGATTTCTCATGTTCATATTTGGAATTAACATGATGAATAATCTACAGTAAATAGTTTTTGGTCAGAAAGCGATTGACCAGTTGAAAACATTTCCACGTTAAAGAGGAATACTTCAACAATTATGCATTTAACCACGTTGCACATTTTACCATAAAAAATGAAGAAAAATGTGAATCATTTTTTCTTTTGTTTCGGTTGAAACAAATAGTGATGATCTTGGTTTGACACATGATGGTCGTCTATGAATAAGGTCCAGTATTTGAAAAAATTGAACACAGTAAATCACGAACATCACACTAAGGTTCGATGGTGTAGTGGTTATCACGTCTGCTTCACACGCAGAAGGTCGCGAGTTCGAACCTCGCTCGAACCTTGTTATTTTTTTTTCTGTTTGGTACTCATAGACAAAATTAGAAATGTGTTATTGTACTGATGTTTTTAAATAGATATACTTTTTTTTTATGAAAAATCTAATAGAAACATGTAGTTAAAACAAAAAGCGACTAAATGTATTTTTATTATTCGAACTATAAAATTTTAAGTGACAGTACCCATTTGATTTTGTTATTTTTTCCTTTTTGAATAGCGAAAGATTGTGCATTTAGAACAATAAATATTTCAAATGTTTATGATCAACACACTCTATCAGACGTATTAATGAAACAAAACGAATTGAGTCTATTCAAATAATGCTCTAAGCAATAAAACAGTAGTTAGATATCTGTAAATTTGAATTGAAAATGAAAGATTTTAATTTTCAAGTATTGAATGTTGCCAATGTTACGAGTAATAATAATGTCTACTTTTATTGATAAGTAGCAAGATAAAATACAAGAAAGTTTTTATTGTTTTCAAAATTTTTCATTCGATTTCTTAAATTCATACGCTGTTATTTTATATTTGAACTTCTAAAGAGAAAATAATCATGATTTCATTTATATTTATAATCTTATTAATGATGTTATTGTGAAAATATTGAATAAACTTCATTGAATATTCTATTAGTTCTATCTATATCGATTTGAATTCTTCAATAAGTATTAATCATTTAAATTTCGGTCAACAAGTCTATCAATTCTATGAATTTAATATTATCATTAGATGATTGGTCATTACAAAGTAAAAGATATCATCAAATTAATTAGAATAATAAATCATGTTAAATTCATTTGTTTTTAGTTATTTTAAAAAATGATAAAACAAGCAGAAATATCCATCATGATGGAAAACTTATCATTGCTACCAGAGATTCGAATGGGCTGGGCTGAGCCGAAGAAAGCCAACCCATGGGTTATGGACCTTTGACCCAGCCCATCCATGGTCTTCTTTGAAAAATCAGCCCAGCCCACCCATGGGTGACCCATCTCGTTCAACATTTTCTCATGGAATAGTTTAACTTGCTATATTCGTCAAAGTTATTTATGATCGCTAACTATTCTTTTATTTTATCATTTTTAATAGCAGTGTACGTCGATGGATGTTATTTCAGAAGAAGTTTGAC